CAGATTGTCCGAAACCTTCTCAATTTTTTACCACAGCCTCCACATATGCTATCATGAGATTTTGACAAATCTCGTAATTTTCAGACTTCGTTTGCTTTTTTAGAATTTAAAAACCATTCAACCACACGTTCGTGGTCGTGTTTCCTAGACAAAATGTTTGAAGTTTTTTTCATTTCCCGTAAGGCCTCAAAATAGACTCAATAACATGAATATGATTTTCCACTGACTTTATTCTATTATTTGAATTACTTGCAGTTCAAATTTGACTTATACCAAAAAAATTCTCTAAATGCAATAAATTAATTAAATATACCAAACTGATCGAGAAATATACCAAATTTTAACATGTAGTACCACATGTTGTATGTAGAGAGTAGAAAAAGTTTGGAGGGCAGGAGAGAAAAAAGTTATTATTTCATGCAGTTTGTCGCTCAAATTCAATGTATATCAATTAAAATTCTATAATTTCACTTAACAAATTAAAATTATCGAACGGATCAAAAAAATTACCAAAATTACACATGAATCAATCTATGTTCTCTATTGCCTATACAAAAAGTTCTGAAGTCAAACCTCAATTCGATCGTCCCTTTGACTCTAAATCTTACCGGATCTTTCTCAACTCTACGATTCTTCTTCGGAGATGCTTCGGTTTGTAAGCGTCATGTGTGACAAATTGTGCGAAACCTTCTCAATTTTTTACCACAGCCTCCACATATGATATCATGAGATTTTGACAAATCTCATGATTTTCAGACTTCGTTTGCTTTTTTTAAATTTTAAAAACCATTCGGCCACACGTTCGTGGTCGTGTTTCCTCAACAAAATGTTCGAAATTTATTTTTATTTCCCGGGTAAGGCCTTAAAATGGACTCAATAACATGAATATCATTTTTCCACTCATTTTATTCCATTATTTGAATCACTTGCGGTTCAAATTTGACTTATACCAAAAAATTTTCTAAATGCAATAAATTAATTAAATATACCAAACAGATCCAGAAATATACCAAATTTTAACATGTAGTACCACATGTTGTATGTGAAGAGTAGAAAAAGTTTGGAGGGCAGGAGAGGAAAAAAAGTTTTGGCTTTGTCGAATGCCTATAAAAAACACTCGGCAAACTTATAATTTTGCCGAGTGCTGGGGAAAAACACTCGGCAAAGTAGCACTTTTGCTAACGGCCGGCACGCCGTCAGACGGCCGTCGCACGTGCCAGTCACGTGATAGTATTTTGCCGAGTGTCAATTCATTGCCGAGTGTCGTCTTAGTGTTTGCCGAGTGTCTAATATACTACACTCGGCAAATCGGGTTTTTTTACCGAGTGCAATATGTATGCCGAGTGTCTTTTTCAGTACACTCGACAAATCAGCTCTTTGCCGAGTGCCCGATGGAATGCACTCGGCAAACCAAAAAACACTCGGCATATTTACTGTTTCCGGTAGTGTCAGGATGTAAAGTTAATTTGAATGACTAAACCGAGTCATCAATATCGATGACCCATATTGATCCTTAAAGGTCCTTTTTATTTTTTTTAATTTTGTTTCCTATAAGCGTGTTACATTGTGCTCCAGAACGTCACAGGTCTTTTTTTTTAATTCTTTCCTATAAGCGTTGTGCTCCAGGACCCTAGCGATCGCAACGATTTATTGTTTCGTTGCTATATGTACAACTTTTTTTGCAACGCAAGAGATTATTACGTACAACGAAACATATTAGTTGTAACATAGACCTGCTATTAATTTGTATAAGGTTCTATGACTATCAATGACAAGAACATAATTATGGTCTAGTGACAAGTAACTTTCTTGGAGACCAAAAGGTCTCAGGTTCAAAACCAGGTTACACATCTTTTTTTTCCCTATAAGCGTTGTGCTCCACAACCTTAGCGATTGCAACGATTTTTTTTCGTTGCTATATGTACAACTCTTTTTGCAATGTAAACGACTATTACATATAACGAAACATATTCGTTGCAACATAGACACGCTATTGCAACCATCAACTAAAGAGTTGCAATATCATCTCAGTATTGCAACACCAGTAAAAATGCCCACAACGCAAATCAAATCGTGGCAACAGTGGCAACTTATTGCAACTGTTTCACAATTGGTTACGATAACACTTACTTTTCAGCAACGATCTTCATACTCAGGGCCACGAAATAATTTGCGTGGAAAAAATCTCACCTATCGCAACCAAAAGTGCAAATGGTTGCGAGAACACCCCCTATTGCAACCAAATCTTGGTGTTGCGACAAAAAAACGTGGCATTAGGGTCAGAAGTTAGTAGTGGCTGTGAAATGTAGATGATGTGGCGCGCTGTTTTATTCCGGTCTCTGCACGAGTTATCAAAAATTCCTGGTCGATCATCATGATCGTTGCCTGCTCATGAAGTTCATTGATAAACTCTTCTCTAGCAATTCCCCAGCAATGGTAATAAACTCTTCTCTAGCAATCCCCCAGCAATGGTAATTCCATCATCGGAGACAAACTAGATATCTACACAGGTCTATCATCCGTGTGGATGTCCACAATGGTGTGCCTCCACATCCTTCTGGACCAATCACTGGCTTCCGGGCGGTCCCATTTCCCACACCCACCCTGCTCTTCTCAAAGACTTGGCGGCCTAACGTTTCAGTGCAGCAAGTTTTTTTTAGAGCGGGTTTGGTTTATGGCAGCGTCCCCGACTAATGGGTGTAGCTCATGCTGAGCTTGCCAACCTTCGTCTTTCATTGCAGGATGTCCTCCTCCATGATGACCTTGACGTCCGACTACTGAAGCTTACTGGCAAAAGATACCGGAGAAGAGACGCATACGCCGCTCTGGCTCCCCCTCCTGCTGTAGCAGACTACATGGTGGCCAGATGTGGAACTCTGCGGTCCCAAACAAATTGAAAGTCTTCACATGGCTGTATTTAAAAGATAGGCTGATTACGAGAGTAAACTTGCATTCCAAACATGTTCTTGAAGACAACATCTACCAAAGGTGCAATGGTGACGCTGAGGACAGGCATCACATCTTCTTCGCATGCAATTCATTCTCCTTTATTTCTTTGGTCTATGATTGGAATCTCATCAATTGAAACTGCGACAGATGAAGATTTTTGGACATCGCTCCTCATGAAGACTTGACGCCACCCTTTGTCCTTTGGTTATGATAACCTTCCTATGGTTCCTCTGGGATGCAAGGAATGGCGATGTGTTCCGCAGCGAGCGCTCTTCAGGATTGTAATCAAGGCTTCCAACATGGATTTGGTTTAGCTAAAAACCTATCACGTGAAGCCTCAACTGTCTAACTACTATATTAGTCCAGCTCTTACAGCATCTCCAAGAGCCTTTTTAAATCTCAGTCTCTAAATCATCATTTAGAGAGCCATTTGCATAAAAATCGTTTTCTATATCTTTTCAGTCTCCAACAGTTTTTTCTATATCTCATACGTACTCTAGAGAGTCATTCTCGTCTTCTATTTTTGGCTAGTGAAAAATCCGGAATAGAAGATGGCTATATTTGGATGACCATTTAGAAAAGCTATTGGAGGTTAGTTTTTCACCAAAATCTCTATTCCTAATTGAACAATTAGGAAGGATATGGAGAGTCTGAGATGCTCTTAGTACTTGCTAGATCCAATGAAGCCTCAACTGTCTAACTACTGTACTCAATTTGCAAGAAAAAAACCCGCAACTTCAGGGGTTTTACTTCCTCAAAGAAATAACATTACTCATATAAACCTTTTGTAGACAACCTTACTCTTACCATCGTATTAATAAATGTGAATTTACATCGGCATTTGTCATGTAAAATGTTGTTGTTTTTTATTTTCAAATAACTAGGTAAGGAAACCTTATGAAGTAACAAGCAAAAATTTTTATTTATGTACCCAAACACATTGTTTGAATGTAATAAACTACATTATGTTGTTGTGAACGAGTTTTAATAATTTTGGAACCAATTGACTATTTTTATATAGTCTAAATAATTTTATGTGTGTTTTTTAAAAGTAATTCAAATTTGAATTACATGTACCACAAATAAGATTAACTTTTTCATAAAAAAGTACATTTAAGGCATACATTCCATACTAGCCCATATCTAAAAAATAGTTGAAAAATTCAAATGTTTCTTACAAATAATTCAAACTTCTATTTGACATTTATAAAAAACAATAATGATAATATCTAATAGTTGTCCGACAATTCGTTAATAAATTGGCATGGGATAATATTAAGGGGCTCTTGGGTTTGTACCCTTGTTTGATATCAAAATTATGATTTTGCCCCTATTTTTTTGACTTTGTGAATTTACCCCTACTGTGCCGTTCACGAAGCACCAGTTTGCCCCTGCTCCGTCATCCACCACTAACGGTGTTAAACTTTGTACAAAAGGACATGAATGCCATGCGATTTTGCCCATTGTGATTTTACCCTGATTTGGAATTAGACTTTTTTATTATATGCTGATAATTGATTAAATTTGGTCAAACATATTTGGCACAACTTGTAATTATTTGAACTCAGATTTAATATTGATAAATATTCAAAATTTTGGGACCAAAAGGTTCATAATGATGACAGATGTAACGAGCCGCGTGCATGAGCCGGCAGGTCGGCCCCGTGGTGGCTCCTCGCCGTCGGCGCGGGCGCGGGAGGGCGACGGCTCCGGGTCGTAGGCAGGACCAGCACGAGGGAGGAGGGGCAGCACCAGCACGAGGGAGATATATACCAAACTGGTAGAGTTATATACCAAGAATTCGATCTCTGCCCTTGAACCAAACTGGTAGAGTTATATACCAAGAACAAATTTGATTAGGGTCGACTAAAATTTTTACATGCAAAATTCAGAGAAATTTGGCAAAGAACAGAGCTACTCCAATCAAACACAAGGCTCTGCTGAACTCGTTAGTTCTGCTCTCACTGCTTCAAGAAAAAAGGCGCCAGGGAAGGCACTGCAATGGCCGGGGGGATGGAGCTCTGTGGGTGGCCGGGGATAAGAGGAGGGCCATGGCCGGGGATGAGAGGAGGGGCGGAGGAGAGGCGCGGTCGGCCCCGGCAGCCGGCGGCGGGGATCTGCTCGTCCGTCGAGATGCTCGGAGACGCCACCGCCAGGCTGCTCGTCCATCGAGCACACACCGAGCCAGGGACGTCGGCGAGGAAGTGTCGTCGCTGAGTTGCTCGTCCACCGCGGACTCCTTTCTCGCTCAGATCCCAGGCGAGAGCGCGAGCAGGACGGGCGGCCCTCATGGATCCCAGGCAGGACAGATCCAAGGCAGGGCGGTGGAGGGCTACGGCGGCCTGGGGGACGGCAACGAGCAGCCGACCTCGTGGCCTCGGGGAGCAGCGCCTGTGTGGAGGGCGGCGGCGCCTAGGGTGGAGGGTGCGCCTAGAGGAGGGTGGCAGCGCCTGGGGTGGAGAGCGCCTCGCGCTCGCCGGAGGAAGCCGCCTAGAGAGGAGCTCGCCGGAGGAAGCTCGCGCTCGCATGGAGGGGAGCTCGCCGGAGGAAGCTCGCGCAACCCTAGCCAGCAACGCCGGGACGAGCGAGCGCCGGAGTGTGGCGGAGGGAGGATGAGCCACGCCGGGGGGAGGGGGAGGGAGGGAGGAGGAGCTGCGCCGCCGTCGGCAGCTGCGCCTCTGCCAGGCCGTGAAACCATCTACAGGCCGCGACTTCTCGTCGGAACGGGTCGAGCGAACGGGTGAGAAAGGAGAAAGGGACTGAGGGGTATCATTGTCTTTTCATATAGGTGCCTTTTCTTTTTCTTTTTTTTACCATTTAATCCAAGCATTTTAGACGGTGTTACAAAACAGGGGTAGACGGGAGCTTAGTTTGAAAAAAGCGAGGGTAAAATCACAATTGGAGTACTGGACAAGGGCAAGAATGCAATTCTCCCTAATATTAAGGGCGTATAAGCTTGAATAGAAAAATCAGAACATTTTGCAAAAGTTGGCATGTATATTGTCCAACAAATAGATACATCTCTCACAAAGTTTCATATAACTTAAGACAAACTTTGAAGTTTGTAAACCTGAAAACCTTTTCTTGCTCATATACACTTCAAACTTGTAGAAAATCTTACAATACATATGTCTAAGTTGTAAGGAAAACGGACCCTTGGTCCATTTAGTTTGGATCTTGGTGTTTGATGATCAATAATGATCATTTGGACTAAAATTATTTGCTAGTGTTTTCGGTATAGTTAAAAGGATGTAAAAGTGGACTTGGACAAAGGCAATGGAGTGATCTGGACGATCAGCACCTCAAGCAAGATAGTAGAAGTAATGTTAAAGACCCACAAGACATGCAAAAGTTCAAGACACGAAGATAAAACCAAGCAATCGCAATGATTGCGAAGAAACAAAGTGAAAGTGAAGGAGGGTCTGCTGGGCGTCGGACCCTAAGGGGCATTGGACCCTAAGGGGCGTCGAACCATACGCTAGTGCAACCCCTAGCCAGTGGTGTTCAGTAGAGGCGTCAGACCGAGCCAAGAGCATGCGTCGGACGGTGCGCCAATACTATTCACATGTGGCAAAGGTGTCAGACCGAAGCAGCAGAAAAGCGTCGGACCAACAGAGGCGGAGTCCGACAAGCAATAGGAAGGTTCTAGAAAGGATTTCCGGGCGTCGGACTGCTCCGAGGACCAACGTCATGCCGTACCCTTCGTGGGGCCCAGATGTCAGTGACTCTAAGGGTCAACAACGGCTAGTTAACGGCTGGTGCGGTTAACTGAGGAGTCAGGAGCACCCGGCGTGCGGTCTCGTGCTCTCGCCAGGTAATCTTGCGTTGCTATTCATGTTAAAAAAATTTAACGAAACTGAGGAAATTCGGTCAGGCCCGGCTTTCTACTGAAAACAGCAAACACCCGTGGAAGGAAGCTTTTTTTGGATAGGATCGAAAACAGTAAAAAGCTAGCAGCTTAGCGGTTTGTCAGCCGCGGCATGTACGTTTTTGGAGGTGGTGATAGCACAATATTTTAGATGTAGAATGACTATATATATGTATAAGAAATATTCAGCTAAAACAGGTGGTAGTTAAGCACCCGGGGTGGGTAACTACCTACACCTTCACCTTCTCCTTGATGAAGGTTTTTATGACCGGCAAATTTAAGTTGATGGGAGACACTATCCATTCTATAGTGTCTTGCATGGGCGCCAAGTTTGCATTCCATTCGCGCCAAAACACATCCATTATTGAAGCTAGCACTAGTACAACAGAGCTCAGCACCGGCACTTCCAGATATATTTCTACTGACGTCTGCCGCCACCGTCAGTGTAAAAGGCTAGTGGAAATCAGAAATATTACTGGCGGTTACTTATTAAGATGCGCCACTGTTAACATATTTGCACTGGCGGTTCGTTTAAGTCAACCGCTAATGTTAATTGTATTTACACATATGGTTCACGTAAAGCATCCGCCAGTGTATATCTTTTAACACTGGCGGTTGGTTTACGTGAGCCAACAGTATAACAGTTTCAGCACAGGTGGTTGACCTAAAGCTGTCGCCTCTGGAATACATTTTCCAGAGGCGGCTTATTAGCAAAAGCGCCAGTGAATTGTTTTTAAAAATTCAAAATTTGGCGCTATATATTTCTTGCTTGTGATTCGTTTTTATTTCCCACCATATATTTTCCGCTAGTGAATTATTTTTCAAATTGAGACGAACCCAAATATAAATCACAGGCAATTATATGTCCATGCATGAAAAAAGCAATATTTATTTTAATCTACCATAGTCATCACATGCTAATATATATATACAACAAAGTTTTTTTCCACTCGTAGCTAGCTAGGTCCCATGACGTACTTCTCTAATAATCATCGTGGTTTAGCTTTAGCCTAGCAATATCTACGAGATCTTGGTACTGGTTGAGCTAACTCTGACTCCAAATCAAAATACTTCCCATCGAAGTGAATTATTTCTTTCATGACGAACCGGCAAAAGTCCTCGCAAATATTCATGAGCTCTCCGTTGTTGAGGCGGTTATCCGTGAGATCACACTTGTATACCTACAAAAAATAATAAGTCATCATACATTTACAACTAACCAATACGGATAATCAGCAATGACAAAACTTCACATGACTATTACTTACATTTTTTGGGTTGTTGGCGTATCTCCCGTTTTGTCTGAGAAACTCGCACACATAGTACCCATAGTGCACATTTGATTAAACTTAAAATTATTATAATTATTTGAATAAACTTAAAATTATTGTAATTTTGAACAATCTAGTTTAGTGAATATATTCACAATAAAAAAATCTAGATAACAATATTTTAATTTTTTTATAACATATTTTAACTTCCACGTTATTTGATGATTGATGAGATACTACCATTCTTTCCCTAGGTCTAATTTTGAATCAAATTTATAATGCAAAAAGAGAAATGAGAGGCATCACTAATCAAAACCTTCTAAGAAATCATTGAAACCCTACACCAAAAATCTACTACCATTCTCTATCACTCTCTCAAAACACAACCATCACTACTACCTAAAACTTAATCGAGGCAGGCAAAAATGATTAACCGAGGCGGGCATCGCAAACGCCTCGGCCCAAAGGCCACAGTAAATGAAATCTTTTTCGAGGCAGTTCAAATGCCCGCCTCGGTAAATCAAATAAAAAACAAGAAAAATAAGAAAACCCGTGGATAGGCCCGCCGAGCCCACCCACGGGCCCGCCAAGCCCATCCACGGGCTGCCACAACCGCCGAGGCGCATTCTGCACCATCAAGCCGGTTCCGGCCTCCCGCCGGTAGGTCTAGCCTCCCCGATGCTGGACGAGGAGGAGTGTTGCTGCCTCGCCCACGCCCGCCCTAGATTTGCCACCGGTGAGCTCGCCGGATCCATGAGCCCAAAGCCAAATCTCTAGAGCTGGAGGTGGTGGAGAAGGTGGAGGACGCCGAATCTGGAGGTGGAGGTGGTGGAGGACGCGGGATCTAGAGGTGGAGGTGGTGGGGCCAGCTGGAGGACACGTCGCCTCTGGAGGATGTCCTGTCGAGCGTTGCCGTGTGGGGAAATGGGGGTGCGCCACCGCTGTATGCCCGTCACCACATGGGGGAGAAGGATGGGAGGCGCGGGGAGAGAGGGAGGGCTCGGAGGAGAGGGAGGAGGCCGGGCTCAGAGGAGACGGAGGGGGAGGCGCGGGGGAGAGAGGGAGGAGAGGGTTGGGTAGGAGGGAGGCGACCCGCTATGTGCTTGCTCGCTTAGGAGGGAGACAGAGGGAGAAGGAGGAGAGGGCACTCGCTCACTTGCTCGGGCTTGAGCCGGTCAGAGGGATAAAAACCCTAAGTTGTGTTTTTATACATGGTCACCTCTATTGGGCCTCGGTTTTTTTCCTGAGGCGGGCCATTTAGGAGGCCCGCCTCCGAAAACTAAGCCATTTTATAAGGCCCACCTCGGTTAAACATAAATAGATTTTACGAGGCAGTTAACTGTGACCACCTTGGTTAATAAAAATGACTATCTCCGTTAATCCCAGACATTAACCGAGGCGGTTGAACTTTGTGAACACCTCAGTTAATATAAGGGCACTACCTTGTAAAATCATTTGTGTAGTAGTGCACGAAACACCCTCTAAATATAGTTTTAACTCAAATTGAGAAGCACTAATGCAAAAAGAGCTATGAGAGGCATTAATTAACCTTCTTGAGCGGCCTCCTCTGAAGAAATGAAGAGCAAAACCTCCCCCCTTGTATTTTGCGATTTTCAGACCTCCAAGTTCGCCACCAATGGAAGGTGGCTCGGATGAACGGTGCTGGTTGGGGGAGGAAGAAGCAATATTTATAGCAGATTTATTACATGCGTTTCTCTTAAAAAACCATCACTGTAAAAATAATTCACAGGCAGTGTTCACTTAAGAGAACCGCCAGTGTTAATGGTCCATGTACACGGACTGTTTGCGTAAGAGAGCCGCCAGTGTAAAGAGGCCGTTAACACTACTGGTTTTCTTATAGGAACCGGTAGTGTAAATCCTTTTATACAGGCAGTTCTTTACAATGGCCACATATTTTGCTCTAATGGAGCCTGCTCTTTTCGAACAGCCAGCCAGAAAAAAGGGCACCTCCAGCAGAAAGCACCGTTGTACTAGTGTCAATCAGTGTATAAGGCTCGCAGCATACTCAGAGTCAGTAGTGATCTGCATACTGCCATGCTTCATGAACCATTCAGAGCCACACACTACCGGATTCAGCTTCTTTGCCGAGTGCCTCAGGCACTCGGCAAAGGCCGATATACACTCGGCAAAGCCTTTGCCGAGTGTTACACTCAACAAAGGGCGCTCGGTAAATAGTTTATCGGTAAAGACCTATTTGCCGAGTGCACTTTATCGGACACTCGGCAAAGCCTTTGTCGAGTGCTAATCCGACACACGGCAAAGAAAAGTCATCGTGACGGTGAGCGCCACCGTGACGGCGGCTTTGCCGAGTGTCAAGGTCAAGCACTCGGCAAAGGTCGCCGCTTTGCCAAGCGTCGTTGACTCAGACACTCGGCAAAGGTGGCCACTGTGCCGAGTGCCACCGGCAAGACACTCGGCAAAGGTAGCCTATTTGCCAAGTGCCTGGCCCATGGTACTCGATAAATCTGTGATGTTTGCCGAGTGCAATGGCCTTTGCACTCGGCAAAGCATGTTCCCAAGTAGTCACTTTGCCGAGTGTCATGGCCATTGCGCTCGGCAAAGTGACTGAAAACAACCTTTTTTA